AACTTTAGAACATATTCGTCCACTAGTTTTATTGTTGGAATGAAATATAGCATGACTTGCATTGCCTACTAAGAAAGTTAGTAGCTGGTAGTCATCGGGTTAAATTCTTGGAAAGGTGCAACTGTTATAAGTAACACAGTAATAACATGTTATTTGTCATATTGGCTGAACATTGATGAGTGATAGATAGATTGATTGACTGATTGTTTTCTGGGTACTTGCTTGTTTTGTTTTTTGTTCTTGTTGTACCTTATTTTCCTAAACTGTGAATGTAGGATGCTTTACTTATGTAAAATAACTATTAGAAGAAAATTGATATTTTTTAATTCATTACATGTTCCTGAATTGCTATTTTATTTGAAACATTTCTATTTTATTAGATTCCTGCAACTTGCTCTGAAGGAGATGGTGGTCGTGAGAGAATAAAAACATTCACGTTTGACTATTCTTACTGGTCCTTTGATGATCAAGATGAACATTTTATTGGACAAGAAAAGGTACCATAGGGGTTTATATATCTTCAAATTAAAATCTATTCACTAAATTGGTGGTTGAAATTTATGCCACAATGTTCAGTGAGAAATTCTATATGGTTAAGGTTGTTAAAACTTCTGAGACACAGCCATTGTGAAATTGTGGTACACCAGTTTGTATAACTTAATCTGTTTGAGCTTGTATGCAAAACTAACCTTAATGAGACAGTGTAATGGAGGTATAAAATATCACTTCTTATCACAATAAGCTATCTTGATCCTTTTCTGCCCTCTAAGCATTGCTAAAAAAAAATTTGCAATCAGCGCACCAGTCTTTATGCCCCATCAGTTTTGTGCCATTTCTAAACATGTACACATGTGACTATTCTCCACCAATAATATTACACCACCCATATTGGTGCAACTAGTTCCCTCTGCTATTCCTGCTCAATTCTCACTTTCTTAATTGGTATGGCATTGTTTAGACGTGTGTTTTTCGCATGTGGCTACCATTTATGAACATGCTTCTTTGTCATTTCAGTTTTTTCAACAGTTTTATTTTACTGTGTTTGCATTCACTTGTTTCAACAATTTTTTTTGCATTTATTTACCAAATTACAAGAGATCATAGTATGAATTTTAGATCAATGTATTTGCTACGGAATCTTGTTACAGTCGAAAATGCTACTGATATGACTTTCCAGGAGTCGGGTTCGACTTTATCTGCAGAGGAGGTAGAGGCCTTAATTTGCAGAGAGCTAGATACAAATGTTCGGCCGGTGATTTCTTCTTTTTTTCAACTTGACAATGTTTCTGAGGAAAAATACAATCAATGAAAAGACAATTTAGATTCTCTTTTTCCAGCACCTTCCATCAGCTGCTGTGCTGCCATGTCATTCAGTTTGGTGGAGAATTGTTCTTCTCCTTCTATCTTCCTATTGCTTCCAATTCTCCCAGAGGATCTGCGATAAGTTTTTCAACATGTACACTAGGTTGATATACCCGTGATAGGCCTGGTTCACATGTCCTTTGTGTGGCTTTGCCCTTATTTACACATTGGTGCTCGGACTTTGGTAAGTTAGATATTTGTGTCATTTATCATCCAAGTTACTTTAGATGAATTGTAAATTAGATATTGATTATTACCTTGTTTTTTTTACATGAACTTAATCATTTTTCCCATTCATTAATATTACATACTTTGTAGACTCAGCAAATTTCATAGGTTTGTTAGTTCATTATTAATAAGTACTTTAGTTATGTTTAGATAGTGTGAATGGTACATATTACTACTAGTAGCATAAAATTTGTTTTTCTATTTGAGTAATTTTTTTGTCATTGTTAATATGTGCTTTCTCATCCCAATTTTCATTAGCGTAGATACATTTAGATGGTTTGTCCATTTCATATTTATAACTACTTTGTTAGCTAGGTACATTTATATAGTTTGTACCTTGCATATCATTACTACTAGTAACATATAATTTATTGTTCTATCTGTATAATTTTGTTTCTCTTCGTTGTTAACTATGTGCCTTATTATCCTAATTTTCATCCCTGTAGGGCTCAATTATGTGTACTTTGTCATCTCAGTTAATTTAGGTGTCTGATAATTTAAATATTGATTACTAATCTGTTTCCTATCTAATTTTAGTCAGTTTGCATATTCGTTAATATTCCATACTTTGTGGACTAGATAAATTTAGATGACTTGTCCATTTGATATTTATCAGAACTACTTTAATTGGGTATATTTTGATAGCTTGTACATTACATATCTTTACCACTAGTAATATATCATTCATTGTTCTATCTGAATATTTTTTGTAACTGTTAACTAAGTGTTTTATCCTAATTTTCGTCAGTGGGACTTAAAATTATTTTGCTTTGTTACATTGCTGACATGTTTGTTTCTTTCCATTTGTGAGATTGAGCTTAGCTTTGGCTTCTTTTCTTACATTTGTGACACTAGAAATATCATTTTCTCCTCGTAACCTACAGTTCATTGTTCTTCCCCACAGTTTCCTCTTTGTTGATAGTTATCTGTTGCTCTAAATTGCTCTTCCTTTTGGACTAACCTCAGCTCTTTAAGTGTTTTGTCATGGGGTGCAAACTCTTGCCTGACATCTTCATTATGATTCTTTGCACTCTTCCTTCTATGGATGACTGGCTCCTGCTTGCTTCCTCCCATTCACAGTCCATAGACCACACTCTTCTGCTCCAACAGGATGCAGCTCAGGTGGGATTACTGATGACTGTGGGGAATTTTGTTCTTACCCCTCTCAATACGCTGTTCATTTGGGACGGTTTCTTCTTCTCAGTCAGGCCTAGCTTCCTCCTCTTCATGTCCCTCACCTTTTCTTACGGCTCGAGTTGTTCTGTCTCTTTGAGGATGTGAGGTTGGCCTCATATGGGTCTCCTTCGGTAGACACTCCTTGATCAGTGGAACTACTCCTTGGCTTCCTGGCTTGGTGATTAAACAGAGACCAGACCATGGTGGGGGTGCTGGTTACTCCACCTCATCCAGATTTACATCTGTTCACGAGCTCAACTTTAGAGGGATGGGTTCTTACCTTGACTCTCAGGAGATTTCCGGTCTCTGGTTGATCAAGGAGTCTTCTTTCCATATCACCTTTATTGAGTCTTTGGCAGTTTGTCGAGTTTTGTCTCACTTTCTTCTACTCCTATGGGAGGTGGTGGGACTGGTATATTCCAACATCTTTACAGTGGTCACTTATATCACAGAGCCAGGGGGGTACCAACTCCAAGTCTCTGTGCTTTCAGGTCCTGGATTTCTTTTTCTGGGCCCACAGTCACCACATTGTGGTCTTAGCTTGCCATTTTTGTGGCTCCCTAAATCTGGTGATGGATCGATTATCTTCTCCCAACAAGATTCTCATCATGGGGTGGTCCATTGTTCCACAAATGCCACCACTTTGTCTTCACACATGACTTTTGTCCAGTCCATTGTTTCAGCCCATGGTCTGACTTTATGTGTTGCATCTTTCCTTTCCTGATCCATTAGACCTTCTGACTTGCTGTGGTTTCTGTTCTTCCCACCTTTCTGTTCCTTATCTTTCCCTATTCTTCACCCAGTTGTTTGACAAAGGCTTGTCCACTTTGAGTGTGTATAGCTAATGGGCAGCATTGTCGACCACCTTCAATTTCTCCAGGTTTCATCTGGTTTTATCTTCCCCTGTTCTTTCCCTCCTTTTCCATTCCTTTGAATTGCCTATTGGGATCTCAGTGTGGTCTTTTATGCCTATTCTCGTTCACCATTTAAGCCTTTGTCTTCATGTTCCATCTACCTTCTCACACTCAAGACCTATTTCCTTCTCTTCCTTGTTTGCGGTCATTGTAGTTCAGATATTTATGCCACTAATGTTACCTACATCCTTTACCATTCCTCCTATGTCATCCTCTTTCCCAAATGGTCCTTTCTCCCTAAGACCTATGCTGCTATTTAAGGTGGTTTTTCTCCCCCCCCCCATTTCTTTACCTTCCATTTCTCATCTGTATTCCCATTCTGATCCTGATCAGCTTCTTTGTCTGGTTACATCCTTAAGGTGATATGTGAAATGTACTGCCTCCTTTTGGAGGTTAATGTCCCTGGCCTTTTATTCTCTAGAACCCTTGTGATCTGTCACACTTACTGATTGGGTTTGTCAACTCATAAGGCTGGCGTATTTGGACTTATCCATGGTAGTTTGCCATCTCCACTATGTTTCTTCACATCTCATTACTATATGTTTGGCTGCTAATTTTTGCTGTTCTTTAGAGGAGATTGTTCAAGCTAGAATGAGGACTACTACTGATACCTTCATTGCTCATTATCAACATTATCTGGCTGTATCTTCTGGTGGATTTCATCTTCTTCCCATGGCGATTCTACATGTGTCCGATTGCCTTTGACTGGGGTAAGTCTTATCACTTCCTTTCATCAGTGTTTTATTTTCAGCATCCCTAGTCTTTACCACTACTATAAGAATCCCACTCTGTGGTAGGTGTTACCTAGTCAGGTATACTTTGCCTCAAACCCACATTAGTGTAGAGTTGCTATATAACGCTCAATGTAAAGATGAGGTATATTCGTAAGACCACTGGTCTGCTGTACCGTACAT